TTTTTTTGGTCATGCTAAAGAAGCGTGGTTCAGGCGTCCTAACCTGGCCTTGGAAAGCTTCTCTTTTGTTTCCTTCGGCCTGATCTCTCCCCTTTCATTTCTCCCTCTATTCTTCCGAGGCTTCCCCTTCCCATTCAGGGCCCCGTGTCTGTTAATTGTGTTGATGCCGTCGGTCTCCAAAGAGCACTTAATGAGAAAGGAAAAAACAAAACACATCGACAACCACAAGGATCACGGCTGCTATTCAGCCCAGCCAGATGGACAACTGCTCCTCTCTCCTCTTTTCATTCTGTCTTTTCTTTTATGCCTTTCCTTCCTTCCACCCCTTCTAATGAAAAATCCTTTCCCGAACAAAAGGGGAGACCTGATGAATAGCGAAGGCAAACGCTGCTAATTGTTTGGGACAAGATGCTAATCGGACTCGCTCCGGCTTCCTTTTCCCGAAGCTGTCAAAGAGCTCTCTGCCTTGCCAGGCCTACCTTTATTTTTATTTTATTTTATTTTTTGCTTGGGATTTTGGGGGAAAGTTACCCTGAAATGCTCAAAGAGAGGCGCGGGGGCCTTTGGATTGCAAGATCCTGGGAGGGGAAGACAATATTTTGACCTTTTGAAGAGAGGTCTATATTGTAAGCGTCCCTAGAAATTTAGGTGGCAGGAAAAGCTCTAAGCCAGCCACCTGGAATGAATCCCTTTGGACTCAATGGGATCGACTCCCAAGTAGACCTATAGGGACCCGGCTGCACTCCTTAGAGCTCAATGGATGCAGCCGGATCCTCTATGGGTCTACTCGGAAGTAGACGCCAGGGAATCCAGCTCCTGTCTAGAGACAAGGAGGGGAAGTCAAAAGGAGTATCTTAACAAGAAAGACTCTGCGCTCTTGTCTTTTTAGGCTTTTCTAGCAATGGGAAAGAGCCTGACCTGGGGCCCCAGCGTGGTCCTTCTCCCCCAGCTGAGACACAACTCCTCTCCTCGGCTCAAATTTGGGTTCAGCAGAAGAATCACTATGCTGGAAACAGTGCAAGGACCTGACCTGTGGATCAACACCCCTCTCCTACAGCCCACAAAGCAAAATCTGGACCAACTCCTAAGCCTCAAGAGTCTCCTCCTCCATGCTCTCTTAAGGCCTCAATCCTAGCTAAAAGTCAACCCCATTGATCTCCATGGGAAGTGCTTTCCAGAAAAAAAAATATGTACGGAATCACACCAGGCGAAATCGCCTTCTCCTCCATCACTCAGATTGCTGACAATCCACCGGGGAGTCGGTCTCGTTGACCTCAATGGGACTCCCTTCTGAATGTGTGGACAGAACATACATTCCTTCTATACATTCAGAATGTATCTAGATTGGTTCGGCTTCTTGCAAGGCAAGAAGACTAAGCACCGACCAGGTTCTGCTACAGTCCTTACTCAGGAGTAACCTCCATTGAACGCAAGAGGACCAATTTAGAAGTCAATGTGAAGAGAAGGTTTTTGTTAAATGCTTCCATAGCACAAACCTTACTCAGAACGAAGTCCTATTGTGTTCAACAGGGCTTGCTCCCAGATAAGTGTGCAAACCCAGTGAGGCCCATAAATAGATGAATGGTGTCAACCTGGGAAACACTCTGCATCTCACTAACCTTGCACTTCTAGACACTTCTAACTCAGATGCAAGTCCAATTGAATTCAGTGGGGGCTTACTTAGAAGTAAAAGTATATAGCACTGCAACCTGACTGGTTTAGAGCCAGCCATTCTCTGACTCAGCCTCAGTTTTGCCATCTGTAAAAACAAGAGGAAGAACGAGATAAAGAAACCCTGCACTCTCTGGGTCCCTTAGAAAGTCACGAATCGAAATAAATGCCAGTAATTGAGCTCAGAAAAACAGCCAGCACCAAACTATGGGCAGAATCCCCATCGAGAAGTTCTTCCTTTCAGACAACCTGGAATTGCAATCGCAAGACCCATTCGCTTCAATGGAGTATATTGCGCAAAGGAACTTCCCGCCGGATCCTCTCCCAGATCTAAAAGTGTCCAGATCCTCCTGGATCCATACCCTCAGGACTGAACTGTTGGCCATTGACAGGCCCAAGGACCCGATCGATCGCGGGATGCTTAGTTCAGCATCCTCAGGATCTCTATATATAAAGCCTTGAAGTGGAAGCTGGCAAGAACTGAAGTTGGATTCACAGCACAGAGGACTGTGTTGGACGACAGATTGTCTTTATTCAAAACGTCTTTGTTCAACAAATGAACAGAATTAACGAGGTAAAATCTTTCTGGATACAATCCCCCCCAAATACATTGCTAAAACATATTTAAATTATCACCGTGTTATTATTACTTTTTTTTTCCTTTTTCTCCTTTAAAATAAACCAAAAAAACCAAAACAGTTCTACTGCCTGACTTCATTTCTGACATTCTGTCTAAAGTAAACTTAGGTCTACTTGCACTGATTCACACAAATTGAAGGACTACCTGTTTTAAATTAAGCAAACATTATCATACCATGTTTGAAATATAAACGTTTGCCTCCCCCCCCCCCATTTTTTTTAAATAACTCTGAAGAGGGTATTTTTTTTCCTTTCTTTCTTCTTCTTCTTTTAATCTTTTCTCCTTTTTTGACATGAAAAGCAATTTTTTAAATCTATTAGTGCTGGATGGTAAAATATAGATATATAGATATATATAACAACAGCTAACTCTTGTCTTTGAATGTGCAAAACCAAAAAGAGAGAGAGAGAGAGGAAACCATTTAGGTCAAGTCAGAATACTTCCAGGGTTTCTAGGAATTCAAGTCCGATTCATATCCGATCATATATAAACTCATAGACATAAAAGTAATAAATAATATATTATTCTTTTTTTTTAAAAAAAAAAAACCAAACAAAGAAACAAAGAAAAAAAGAATCAAGGATGTTTGACCTTTTGGTCAAAAAGAGCAATTAAAAGTTTGACACATTTACAAGTCTTACAAGTTTCGGGCATTTCGGAGCCCCAAGTGCAGAGGGAGAAAAAACACCTTTTTGTGGGAGTAGGTTTAGAGCCCCAGGTTCAGAAAGAAAGAAAAATACCTTTTTTGAGTGAATAGGTTTAGAGCCCCAACTGCAGAGAGAATACACACCTTTTTGGGAGTAGGTTTAGATCCCCAAGTGCAGAGAGAGAGAAAAACACCTTTTTGGGTGTGAGTAGGTTTAGAGTCCCAAGTGCAGACAGAAAAAAACACCTTTCTGTAAGTAGGTTTAGAGCCCCAAGTGCGGAAAGAAAGAAAAATACATTTTTGTGGGAGTAGGTTTAGAGCCCCAAGTGCAGAGAGGAAAAAAACCAAAAACACCTTTTTGGGAAGGTTTAGAGCCCCAAATGCAGAAAGACAAGGAAAAAAAACACCTTTCTGTGAATAGGTTTAGAGCCCCATGTGCAGAGAGAGGAGGGGAATAAATTCATTTTGGAGAATCAATAGGTTTAGAGCCCCAAGTGCAGAGAGGGGGGGGGGGAACCAAAAACACCTTTTTGGGAATAAATAGGTTTAGAGCCCCAAGTGCA